TTTTTTTTTTTTTTTTTTTTTTTTCTGTATTTGTTTGCTCAGGAAATTAGAAAAGTGACCTTCAATGTTTGATTTTTATGTATAGGTTCAATTTCGGTTGTACAGAATATAGTAGCAAGTTTTTGGTTTTTGTCCTGTAACTGGAAACCTAGAAGCTTAAGAGCCCAGCATCATCAACAGAACAGGAGGAGAGGAATAAAAAGCTGGGGCGTTGTTTGAATAAGGTGATGATGGCATATAGCAGCAAGAGTTTTGGCCCCAGTAGTTCTGTGTGTATGTTATAGGACACCGCAGGGTTGGCTGTCTGCCGGCAGCAGTTCAAATTACCAGCATTCAGTTACACTCAAACAATAACAAACGCTCTTCATCCGTCCGTCCGTCCGTCCGTCCGTCGATCCGTCCATCCGTTGTCATGCAATGTCGACAACTGCTTGTTGACAGTACCCTCGGTAGCTCTGATGCTGATGCCACTACGTCTTCGTTACTATCCGCCGTGCCGATGAACACTACTGAACCCGCCGCCGCAGTGAACAACATCAACGGGTCCTGCTATTACTGCAGCGGTGTAAGTTTGGTGTTGATTGCCGTTACTTTACTGTCTGTCGCCATTCTACTCATTAGTGTGTTTATCTCTAACTAATTATTTTCTTATTTTATTTTATTTTCATATTTATTCGTTTATTTTTTTTAAAAACAGACAGCTATTGTAATAGCAACGGGATTTTTATCAAGAAAAAGCGGTCAGCTGTAGTGAAAGAGAAAGCCGGAAAATGAGAATTTTGGCAGTACTGTATTTGAATCATTTAATATTTCTAAATAGAAAAAGGATTAAAATTATTGAAATGTGCATCTTTTTTTTAGTATATTCATTTAGATTAATCTATTAGTCATTTTCAATACGCAGTTTGTCGTTTCTGAACTACTCATTGTTTATCTTTTGTTGCACTGCGGAGAGGTTTTTTTCATCTGATTTGTTTTATGAATAGTTGGATATTTGAGTGACAACAGCAACAGCGATGGTGATTAGAAGTGTGAACATTGCAAAGTAACAGTTTTGTTCGTTTTACTCATTCACCGCAGCTGTTGGATTGCTTACCGTATAAGAAACTTTTTTTAATGCTAAGAGGGGAAAAAACCGGTAAATGACATTCCACAGTTTGTTAAGTAAACCTTAGAACCAACAAAAGATGCCCTCTTTTAAGCGGGAACACTGTGGCTTACAAAGTGACATCTGATGGCTTAGATTACTGCAACTACTTCTTATTTATCGCTTTACTTACTACTTTTCTATGTCTTTTTTACATTTAAAGTTGCTACTTGTAATATATATGTTTTGAGGAAAAAATACGAGAGAATTTTCTTTCTCGCTTTTCTTTACTAATATTTATATTTCTTTAAGAACTGTAACTGCATATTTGTTTCTCAGTCGTTCAGATACTTAAGTTTTTTTAAGCCGAGTTATTGAATGGCCCTTTAAAGTTTGTTGCTGATTAATCCGTCTGCTATACTTCGATTATTTCTGATGGCACTTTTACAACACCCGGCTTCGATAACAAGGCTTCTCTTCTTCCTCCGATACTTTCAAGAGGCAGATGTGTAGATTAAATTACATTTTTACAAATTCAAGAACCGCTTGGCTGAAAAGCTGATATATTATAATATGAAGTACTTTTTTTAACCAATTACAAGAAGCTACATCTCTAATGACCACTCTACAATATTGTATAGCTTTTTAAAAGTTGTATAGCTTTTCAGAACTTTTGAATATACTTCACTGTCTTTCTCTAACTCAAATGCTTTGGTATCATTATAGTCTTATGGTCTGCAACACTGTAGAAGAACCTTAATCAATGTTTAATTTTCGGTAATTAGATGGAAAATCAGAGGCAAATGTAGTAAAAACTAAAACTTGCGTTATCTTCTTATATTTTTCAGCACTGAAAAGATTTGTTTTTATCAGCTGGCTGTTCTCCAATCATGCAATACTTAAAAACACTTTTTTCTTGCATTTTCTGATCTTAATTTGCACCTTCTCTGGTATTCTTGTCTATGATATATATATTGTAGCAAGGTTAGTGGTCTTTTAGAATCAACACACGATACATCGATAAAATAATAAAGCTAAACTGTAGCCTTCTTTGAAAGACAGTGGCTAACTACCGTATGGCATGTTCAGTACAACTGAATACTCTGTTAATTTCGTCTTTAGAAGTTTTCCTTATAAACAAACAGTCAACTTCAGATTTAAAACTCTGAAGACTTCTTAGCTTACAGGTCAAAATAGCATTGCTAATATACTGTTTTGACCTTTCCACCGTTACCACTACATACATCGTTAGCGGTGGGACAATCCACTAATCTGGTGGAGTCTGTCGACTTTACAGTTTGTAGTAACAGTTACGCCTTGCACTGTCTGTTTTATTGCTTGAGATGAACCTAACATACATAAATTTAATTCAGGATAACAGGTTTTTAGAACTCGTAGTCTACTTTAGTGGCTGCATACTGCTGGGTCGAAAAAAGACAAAAAAAAAAGTTAAAGACGCCGAAAGACAGAAGATTGGCAAACGAAAAAGTATCCAGCAGTAAAGTTATTTGATTCTATAGTATTGCGGTTACGTCCAGCAACTGATAATTTTTCAACTGAATATTGTTTGTTTTCGATGGGATAACGTTTCTTTTGAAATTTGACACCGAACACAATGCTCTGGTTTTGGTTTTTATTCTAATGTCTCAATTTTCAAGCGGAACCTCGTAAGAAATTCACACCGATCACTAAATTTTGTCGAATTACAAGCTTGCTTTTTTTTTACAAGTATCTGTACTGTCAGGAAAAAGGAACTGTTCAAATGAAGCTTTCGTCAGCAGTAACCATTTAAATTAAAATCTCTGTAATGCTTTTGTTAATTTTTGTCAGCTTGACATGATGTTATCTGTTTTATAATTCTTCTGAACAGGCTTGCTGCACAAGGATCGGAATTTATGAGCGCGTTCGCGGTTTTAATGGAAAATATTGGTAAAGAGAAGACAAACATGCTGAATTGTTTTTTTCCTCGTAGCAGGTGTTAGTCCAGCTAGAGTGGTCTAGAGATTTGAGTCTTGTACATCTAGTGCTAATAATCAGATTTGTACAACATTCATTGTGAATAATTTTTTTTTTTAACAATGGTCAACTTTAATTCTTTGGTCGTCAGTGGAAGGATGGAAAAAACTGTACTGTATAACTTATAAAGTGGTAGGAGCTTTATCAGAAAAGATTTTTTTGGGGGATTGTC